CCCCAAAACCCCAAAACCCCAAAACCCCAAAACCCCAAAATATTAGAAATTAGTTGAAAATAGTTACATTAGAAACTCAGTACTTAGCGCATCCCTCAGGTCATCGATAGCTATCGATCTCCTAGCAGCCTTTGGAGCTGCAGATAGAGACTTCGAAGACCTAGAGTTCTTGGGGTATCTAGCTACCTTCTTTATTGGGCCTGGAACTTTCTTTTTAACCAAAGGGATTCTCTTAACTCTGTGAGAATCTTGGTAGGATTTAGTAAACTGCTCATTCGACATAAAGAGAGCTTTCAAATTGGTCTTCTCTCTCTGAACTTGGACTGCTTCTATTACATCTACAGATATGAATCGAGCCTTTACCATCCATCATGTTTGAAGTTTGGTATGAGTATCCCTTCTCTCTTAGTTTTATTCTAGGATTAATGACGATTTCCTTTCCATCTTCTAGATTTAGAATGTTTAATACCTTCTTTAACTTCATTCCCATATAAGCTCTTTCCTAAATTGATAAACTTCTTTGAGGTGTTATAACTAGGCGAATTTCTAAGCGATTGAGCTTGATATTGCTCCTTGTATGACCCAACAAGGTCAAGCTTCTTACGTCCATCCCTCTTCTACAATATGAGTTGAGGTGCTTACTACTGGACTGAAACTGTCAAGAGGGATTTCCATGCCGTTCCTGGAATCATAGCTATTATATATCAGCTTCTTTTGTTTAAACTCTTCAGCCTTCTTGTTCGGGTATAGTCTGTCAACATTGAATTTCCTCCTCTTCTTCATATTTGATTGACTCCCTTCGGTTTTAAAGGAACTAAACTTTTGCTTGATCCTCGGAAGACTATTCGTTATGTGATGAAATGTACCTTTTCGGAGGTGAAGGATCATCAGAAGATGCAATTGAGGAATACATGCCTGATTTGTCATTCCGCTTCACAGCAGTCAGAGCTATCTCCCTTGGTGGCTTCACCTTCTCAGTCAAGTTAATACTTGGCGTGATCTGGCTCATAGCTTGATGGTACAAGTTCTTTTTAGCCTTTCTGAATCTTAGCTTTTCATCTCTGATCATTTCTATTAGAGTCAAGATGATATCAGGATTAGTAGAAGAACTTTAGTCGTGTTTTATGAAGTAAATTTAATAATAGACAATTGTAATAAAATTTCGAAAGTTTCAGAAAATTAGCAAACTTTTTTGCCGAATAGTTTTATTTTTCAAAAAGATATGTTCGGGTGCACCAGGAAACTTTAAGAAAATATTAGGGAGTAATCTTGAAAATATCTATTTCAGATAACTTTTCATATGGCTTATGATAAGAATTAGGCATGATATTGCAGACTTGTGCACCAATGAACTTACCATCAGCCCAATCATGAGCATCATCTTCATCACTGACCTCTTCTTCAAGTGTGAAGGTCTGGGCTTTACTAGGAGAAAGAACCTTGGGCAAAGGACTCTCTTTCTCTTTAGCTTTCTTCTTTTTAGGAGACAATGGGGATACTGGCTGCGGTGTTTCCTCTAGTTCTATCTCATAATCCCCATTATCAAAGGTATCTCTCAATATAGTGCCAAGCTTGATCAACTTCTTAGTCTTGATACTATCGCCTTTAGCTTTCTTCTTTTCCTTCTTGGTCTCCTTAATAGTCCAGTCAGAGATGCCTTGTACGAATTTGTCTAAATTATCTTTCTTCTCTTCCTTTAGTATCAAGCTGCTGAGCCTATAGCTAACCAAACAGGGTGTCTACCTTTGCCAAGATTCTGCTTCCTTCTGTTTATTCTTGAAGAGGATGTTCTGGGCTCTCTCTTGGTCATCAAATCGCATGTACTTGTCAGTAGCCCAAGAGTTATTGTACGGGTTCATGTATTTATTTAAGCTTCTCATCGATGCTCCTGCTTGGCCTAGATCTATCAATTTAAGGCTTACTTTAAGTCGTAATCGAGCTTCCGCCGTGCTTCTGATTTATAGTTCCATTTTCTCCCGTAGCCAGAGAAGTAGTCATCTCCTGAGCAATCCACTGGGGAATCATAATCATTGTTCTTGTAGTATTTGTCTATAGAGAATGGTAAAGGAAAGCCTAATTTGCATGAATGAGATTATAGTGGGAATAGGATTTTAGGTATTGGTTGAGGAGAAACTTACCCATTTTGAATGACACATTTAGGCCTAGCTTTAGTCCTGCTCTTTTGAAGGATAGCTTCTTATGAACTATTAAAAATCTTTAGACTCTCTATTTAGTGTCTCCAGCAGATTCACTGGGATTAAAATGCTGACTTACTGCTCATTTTTATTCACAAATTAAATCAATAATATAAAATAATGTTGGGGTTTTGGGGTTTTGGGGTTTTGGGGTTTTGGGG